TCCATGCCAAAACAGCCTCAAGGCTTAGACCAGGGGTGTCAAACATGCAGCTCGGGGGCTGGATCAGGCCCCCAGAGGGCTTCTAGCAGGCCTGCAGTGGAACTGACTGTCTTCTGCTTCTTCCAGTTCTGCTGTTGCTGTGTCATTGTAGGTTTGCAGCTTACACACCTGAACAGCATACTCAAGACTGCAACAGCACAGACATTTTGATGCAATAATTCAGACTGAGAGGTGTCAGTTATCAGACACTGTTAAATAAACAAAATATTGCAAGACTGCTAATGTTTTAAGCATGTTTTTATTTTAAGTTTAAAAATCCCTTTGTGGTTGTGTCCTTTATAAAGTTTATATCTCCACTACCTGGCATTACATTTTATGACACACATGGCCCGGCCCAACAAGGTCTCATTTATGTCAGATCCGGCCCTCATAACAAATGAGTTAGACACCCCTGGCTTAGACTGTTGTAACATGGGATGCTCCTGAAGACAACTTGGAAACTTTAGCTGGTACAGAAAACCACAGCTTGATGATGACTGTCAGGTACTAGCTGGAGTAAGCATGTTGCATCTATTCTGCAGTCACCCTGTTGGTTACCAATCAGTTTCTGGGTTAATTCAACATGCTGCTTGTTGCCTATAAAGCCCTTCATGGTCTGGGAACCACACTTCGGTAGGACTACCTCTCCCAGTATGCTGTGCTGCAACAGCTTTGCTTATCTGAACGAGGCCTTTTGAAGGTACTGGCTCCACAGACGGTTAAGATGAGCAGGTGCCTCATCTTTGCATTTTGTACTGTGGCCCTGACACGTTCTGTGGCCCTGGCCAGGTCAGCAAGGCTAGTATGCTAGAATATTTCTGCAGAATGTGTGAAACGTAACTTTTCAGGAGGGCATTTCTATGATGGGGGATATAGTTCTTGATGTTTATTGAAAGTTTATAAATGTTTCTTATTGTTGTGCGTGAATTTCTGTAAATGGGGGCAGATGCCTTGAGTCTCTATGAGAAGAGCAACCTATAAATGAAGTATGTAAATAAATCTACTACCAATTGATTTTATTTTGTTCTCCCAAGTTTTGGTATTTTGAGAAATGGACATTTTGTTCTCATCTACTTCTACTGTGTTTAACGTTATAAAATTTCTGTCATGCTATCCCTTGTTTCTTTTCAAGCTGAAAAGCCCTAGACCCTTCAGCTTTTCTTTGTAGGGAAGATGTTCAAATCCCATAGTCATTTTGGTTTGCCTGTTTTTGCTATGAACTGTATGCAGTCAGGGTTTCCCATTGAAAACAACTTATTGCTAGTGTGGTACAAGTTTTCAAGTGTTAGATTTGCATGTGGAAAACCCTGATTCAGTTCCTTGGTCGGTTGTGAATTTCACTGGCAGCCCTTAATAAGTCATTATTCCTTAACATAATGTATCTCAGGGCAATTGTGTGGCTAAAATGTTCTGAGTTTTTCAAGAATACAGGAACATACATAAATGTGGCAAATCCCTAAGAATTTAAAATACTATTTGGTTTGTGTGAACTCTATTTTTTTTTAACTTTTAGGCCCACAACATTGTGAAGCTGTAGTGTGAATATGGGTGAAAAGAAACCAGAACCTTTGGATTTTGTAAAAGATTTTCAGGAATATTTGACTCAGCAGACTCAACATGTGAACATGATTTCAGGCTCTGTTAGTGGGGACAAGGAAGCTGAGACTCTTCAGGGTGGTAAGTTAACCTCGGTGCAGTTGAAGTTGAGCATTGTTTAAATGAAAAGCAGGAGACAAAGGTTCCTTCTGCCTCTCTCAGTGGGATATGATACAAGCTAACTTTTGATATAAAGTTTCCCAGTGTGTGTTTTGATGTCATTGTTTCTTTTTCCAGCAGGGACAGAAGGTGATCAAAATGGACTAGATCATCCTTCAGTTGAAGTCTCGCTGGATGAAAACTCAGGAGTGTTAGTAGATGGATTTGAAAGAACTTTTGATGGAAAATTAAAGTGTCGATATTGTAACTATGCCAGCAAAGGAACAGCCCGTCTCATAGAACATATCAGAATTCACACAGGTATATTTTTGTATCTGCACAGCCACCGTCCAAAAGTTGATGTTGACGAATCTACACGAGCCTTAATGTATCAAATAGGTACTGTATTTTCCAGTCAAGAGAGTTGCAGCTCTATACTAATAGAGCTTTCTTCCTTTTTTCTTCTTCCCAATAGTTTTAAGTGTATCTTAAAATGTAAGTGCAAACCAAAACTAAGAAACTATATGAAATGTTTGATGTGGTAGTACCTAGAAATACTAACAGTTTGTGATCTAGTTGATTTTTAGTGCTTACCAAACTTCATAATACATGTGCCTTGTATTCTTCCTATTTTGTTGTGTTGGGATTGAAACTCTCGTTGATTAAAATGTTGGAATTATGTTCTTTCAGGTGAGAAGCCACATCGGTGCCATTTATGCCCCTTTGCATCTGCCTATGAACGTCATCTGGAAGCTCATATGCGATCACATACTGGTGAAAAACCTTATAAATGTGAACTGTGTTCCTTCCGCTGTAGTGACAGGAGCAACCTGTCACACCATCGCAGGCGTAAACATAAAATGGTGCCTATAAAGGGAACAAGACCTTCCCTTAGTAGCAAGAAGATGTGGGGAGTCTTGCAGAAGAAGACCAGTAACTTGGGGTACAGCCGAAGAGCACTAATTAACTTGAGTCCACCTTCCATGGTGGTTCAGAAGCCAGATTACCTTAATGACTTCACCCATGAAATCCCCAACATTCAGACTGAAGCATATGATAGTATGACAAAGCCAACAGAGACTGGTGGGTTGCCGAGAGACCCACAAGATCTTATGGTAGATAATCCTTTAAACCAGCTTTCCACACTAGCAGGACAGTTGTCTAGTCTGCCTCCTGAAAACCAAAACCCACCATCCCCCGATGTTGTACCTTGTCAAGATGAAAAGCCTTTTATGATGCAGCAGCCTCCCACACCAGCTATTCCAGCTGTGGCAACAAGTATTCCTCGGAGCTCACCCCCTACAAGCCCTGATCCTCGTCCTGCACATACTCAAAGAAACTACAGTCCAGTGGCAGGTCCCAGCAGTGACCATAGTGCCCATGCCAGTACTCCAAGTATAAGTAATAGTCAGCCAAGCACTCCAGCACCAACTCTTCCAGTTCAAGATCCTCAGCTTCTGCATCACTGCCAGCACTGTGATATGTATTTTGCTGACAATATTCTTTATACTATTCATATGGGATGTCATGGATTTGAAAACCCTTTCCAGTGTAACATATGTGGTTGCAAGTGTAAAAACAAGTATGACTTTGCTTGCCACTTTGCCCGAGGCCAACATAACCAGCATTGATTGAATACAAGGAGCATCTTGCTTTCATTTATTTTGTGTGTCTAAATACATCGCTATCTGTCACATTCTACGAGAGAGGGTGCTTGCCCTGTTGGAATAAGCAAGCAGTTTAACATTGGAGGCAAACGTCTTTACATGCTGTCATGATTTGCTGGGTATATGCTTCTTAGTCATGGTGGTGTTCTTGATGTGGTTCCTCAATGGAAATGATGCTCATAGTGCAATTAAATTTTCATATGGATTGTTAGCATAACCTCCTTAATGTGGGTTTCTGGAACAATGTCTGTATTTAAGTACAGTTTATAGTCCTTCAGATTAAGCTGTGTCACAAAACAGCTTGCTCATACTTTTGCCACATTTAATGTGATTCGACGTGGCTAATGTAGAAAACATACTATTATATATCAACTGGCTACCCCCCCCCCCAAATTGCTAAGAAATCTTTTTGTAGGAATTAAACAAGGAAAATGTTAATTTCTATAGTTAAATTTAAAATCTGACAATGTATTTGCAGTGAGGCCTTTAAAACTCATGTAAGTAACAATTGAAAGCTAGGATAGCAATTTTTTAAAAAAACTGCCTATGGGAAAGACACTCACTTTCCAGTACTACTAATCTCTTTAAGAAATAACAAGGAAATGGTGCCTAGTTTTTTGTTGTCAGTAACCCTTATTGCTGTGCATAAACAGAAAACACAACAAAATAGGAAATGTTAGAATGATGTACAGTAAAGCTCATGCCTCACTTGATGGTCAGTTATAAATAACTGTGCTGCCTTTAAGTGTTGATGTGAGTTCCATTTTTTGCCTTCTATTCATGGCATATTAACCACCTGGGTAGCATGACTTTGATGTCAATATCCCATCCAAATAACGTTTTAAGTATGAACCTTGAATACATTTCCTTTTGAAAAATATTCTAGTCAATGTACACAGTGGTGGATATCAAGTAGTGTTCTCTGGGCAAGTGTTCTGTTTGTAGTTCTGGACTGGATCAAACAAGTGAAGAAAAGAATCACTTTGACTAAACGCAATGAATGAATATTACAGAATGATACATGGTAGTCAAATTTTTAAAACTGTATACCTTAACATTGTCCAGCTTCCCACAAAAGTAAATAGGCACTTTAAACAAAACATGCTGATAAAAACTATGGAGTGCTGGCTCCATAATGGGAAACCTTAATGGACTTTTTTTTTGAGGGGGGATACTTATTTCAACATGCACTTTGTATCTTTTAATACACTTAGTCTTATTTACCTTGAAATATCTGCTGCTGTCTCTTTGCATAACAAGTAAATATGCACACACAAACTGATTTGAGGTAACTAATAGAGTGTGTTTGTTCTTCATGTCCCCCAATTCATGCCTTGATGTGAAGTACTGTTTAGCAGCCAGCTCAAATGCATGGCTGTGCAAATGTTATAGCAATGTTTGGTAGTGAACCAGTTAGATTTCCACTGTTGTGCTAATGAAGCTATTCTTCTGTCCTAATGATTTGCTTTGCCCTTAAATTTCATAGCTTTGGCACATAAGGGCAGCATGAGATCCTTATGTGTCTCAAAAGGGTATAGGATGAGCTGTACTAAAGCAAGCAGCATAGAGCCAGGAATAGGATCCTTTGGCTGAAATGGAATTAGCTCCAATCTTAATTCTGTACCTGGGGTAAGACTTCCATTCAGTGAAATCCTTTTCATTTAATACGTTTTGAATTATATATATTTTGATATGAAAGCCCTTACAGTTAGCTTCCCTTTATTACTCAGTTTCTGTACGTCCCATAGATTATCACTCTACTCGGTGTTTGCATTCTGGTATACAGAGATAAGTAACAAGCTCTTTTGCAGTTGCCTTCTGCTTCTGCATAGTTTTTAAATTGCGAAGTCCCAGTGTCTTGCAGCTGATCAGTAGAAAATCTTTTGTACCCAGGAATCTGTCACTGATTTCCGGTTTTATTTAATCTGTGTTGAGCATAACACCAGAAAACATCTAACACCCCCCCCCCCCACTGCTTTTGCTGTTTGCTTTTTATTAATGCACAGGATACTTAACTGGCTATAACACAGCTAAGGACAGATTCATATATATTCTAGTTTCATCTTGATGAAATTTTTATACACTGAAATAGTTAATTTGATCCTTATGGGCAATGGTCAATAACTGGTGCTTGCTTCCCTTACCAGGAATGCACTTGCACTTCTCTGTTGATTTTTATATGATCGCTATGGTAATGATTATGACACACAGTCTTACAGCATAGTGCAGTGTAACAAAAGGAGAGGGGGAGAAGGAGCCATGACGAGGGAGTAAATGTACCCACAAGGCCAGGTTAAGGGATAGGTATTGGAGTCTTTGAACTCATATCTTTGCCTTCTCAGTATGGTATGTTAGCCAATCTGGTTGCTGAATGCCACTGTAATTTGTACAGTGTGGTGCACAGCAGAAACTTCAGCGCAAATAAATATGTTTAGAATTGACCATAAGATTACTATAGGGTACCAGCTTTTTTAAAAAAAATAATCTTTTACAGCTGCATACTAGAGAGATACTCAAGATGTACTACTTTTCTGGAAAGCAGAATCCCTTATTCAGGTTTTCATAGCACAGGATTTCTGGTTGGAGGGGGAGAAAAGTGGAAACTCTCGGCACGAATGGTCCAGCAAGCAAAGGGCATAGCAACCACACAGCTGCTGCAATGCAAGACTGACCAGCAGAACATAGCAGACAGTAAGGCTTATGAGTGACACCAAGTAAGGCTTTATGAGTGACACCATCTGATAAGCAAATTCATACCACAAAAGCAAAAAATGTTCAAATGTTAGTTGACAGTGGGATAGTAATGGTGGGATATAACTTTCAGTCTCTGGTCCTTTAGCTGGACCCTCTAACAAAGGTTCCAGTGATTGGGCTTCAAAAAGCATATCTCATTTCTTGTGCCAAAACAAGTGTGTAAAATTGTGTTTTTTTTCTAAGTCCTAAAGATGTATAGCGGATGGCATTTCCTCTTGTAATGTTACAATTCCTGTAGTCCAGTTATGTGTAAGGTATATCAGCAATTTAAAATAATTACTAGTTACAGCCATTACATTACAACCATCTTCCTTAGGATGCCTTTTCATCAGGATATAGATTAGCAATATATAGCTTTACTGGATCAGGCTTCAAATAAGTTATATCTTAGTGAAAATGCTATTAATGAATTGTATGTTAACAAGAGAATGTGTTGTTGCATTAACAAATGGTTTCAGTTTAATTTCTTTTCTGCAGAGGAATTCAAGTGCTTCAATGGCAGTCTTACACACCTACATAAAGTAGTCCAGAGGGCTCTAGCAGATTGATGCCTTAAGTTGATTTAACAGTTTTAAGCCATACACACTATTCATTGCACCTATGGTAGCCTTTGTAGACTGAAGCCTGTTGATGAAGTATGGAATGGTGTTATAGCCAGAAGGTAAATTTATTATGTAGAAACACTAGAA